TTTTTATGTTGCTTCTTCTAGAATATATGAGATGGAGCAGCGTTTGAAAAAAGTAGTCGGCACGGAAGAGAAATTTCTTTTTCCTCACTTTGAGTTAGTGAATTGGTATGCGGCTAGGTCGTTGATTTTGGAACAGTTGAGAGGTAGGCACATCTCAAGTAATCGTATCCTTGTCTGCATTTACGTATTCAGAGGCTAATGATGAAGGAAATCGTGCTGATCAGTACATATTAGATGCTGCGACGGCGTTAATGCCATGCTTGAAAGAGTGGATGCGTCGTGATAAGGTATCCTAATTCCCAAGATTGATGTTATGGAGTCGTTTTGCTTTAGGAGGCGAAGATGAACAGTACAACGTCCTTCAACGATGTTTTGGTAAAGTTGCAGAGGGAGATCAACAAACAACACGTAAGCTGTTTGTTTATATGCCTTAATTTTGAGATTTGGACTCAGACACCTAAAATATGGAGACCACTACATTTCAGCGCATTCGCCGATCTCTTTCACCTGCATGTAGGTCACCCAGAAAGACAACGAAGAAAAGAAAATCTGAAGAGCATGAGCTTTTTGTAGAACGTGAGTTTTTATCCAGCACCTCTCTCTTTTCTTTTTGTAGAAGTTTCCAACGCAGATGATTTTCCTTCTAAACTTACCCGGAGTCGAAGCTGTGTTGTGTTGCGAAAGGGAAGCGATTTTTGAGGGAATTGTATGGGGAATTAATTCAAAAATAAATCAAAAATGTGCGTTTAACAGTGGGTCGTAAAAGACGTAGTCTTTTGTATTTGTAGTGCTATACACACATAATTATTTCCGATTTTAGCAGGGACCAGTACATCATCTGTCACTGAAACAGAGCAACCCATGGAAACACCAGCTATTTCTGCTGATCCTGCAACCCATACTCCCCATATAGAGCTTGCCATACCAACAACAGAGTAAGACATATTTCAGTTTTAGTTTTTTTGTCTATTCCACATTATTTAATATCATTATTTTATTGATTTGTTAGTCGAATGGCCTTTCTATCAACGTTGTGTTCTATCTTGGAGGGTATTGGACAGTGTCAAATCCGTCGATATCAGTTCCAATAGCAAAAATTTGATTGGGCTTGTAGAAAAAATACCCAAGGGAGCTTTTCGCGCTTGATTAAACACTGGTGATTGTCACTTTCCAAATGATAGAATCGTGAATAGAATTGAACTAATAGCGCATTTATTGCTGCAAGACTCATAACTTTTCGCATAGCGATTGAGGGGCAGATTTGGAAGAATTAGTGGGTTTGGCCAAGCTAGTGTATTGCATCTCATGTGGAAAGCTATTTCGACTAAATGTTCTTCTTGGAGTAATCTATTTGTCTCAGATTGAGACCTTCTAGAGAGTCCGGAGAGCCTGCGTCTGATTCGCTGGACGAAGAGGCTCCGCTCGATATTCGGCTAAAAATTGTTTGGAAAGGAAAAAACGTGAGGAAGTTTGCGAAGCCGTAACGAGAGCTGTGTTATTTATATGTGTAATTTAGTACGCATCTACGGTAGTAGAGAAACCTGATCCAATGCTAGAAGAGGTGAATATGACGCAAATGTTTGCGCGTCGTAGTTCAAGTGGGCGACAACCACGGCCATCAGCGTGGCTTGCTGAAGCTGTAGGGTTGGATGAGTTGGAGAAAACAGCGAAGAAATTGGAAGGTTTGTCATTTGCTATGCGTTACGAGCTGACTGGATAGTGTGCTTCAGAGAAGGGAGAACAGCTGCCAGAGCGAAATGTGGTCACTTATGACACTGAAATGGAGCTGGCATGTGAAGAAGAAGAAAGGAATCTGCTACGTGAAGAACGAGCTAAGAAAAAAGGAAAATCTGGGAGTGGTACAGGTACGTGCGGGCAAATCTGGCACCAATCACCAGGCAAATCTGGACCTATGGAGCTCTCACGTGGAAAGTTTTCTTGAGACTCTGAATAAGACCCTGCCCAAGCAACAGCTCAGATATTGAACTAACGGCTTAGATATTGGTCTCCAAACTATGCCCCGTGATCGTACTCACATGGATTCATGGCGCTTTCGCACGAGGACCCACACGAAACTGAATACGATCACGGGGCATAGTTTGGAGGGAAGTATCTTAGCCGTGAGCGCACTATCTGAGCTGCCGCTTGGGAGTCTTATTTAGGTCCTCAAGATTACTTTCTAAGTGAGAGACCCATAGGTCCAGATTTGTCTGAACGCTGCCTTCAAAGTGATTCTTTCGTCACTTTCCGAAAGTCGTATTCATAAAATACAGTCGGTTTCTTAGGAGACCCCCAGCGTCCAGCAGCGATAACTAAAAGAAAGCCATCAACTGTCAAACAACGTCTTGCTGCCAAATTGAAGTTAAAATAGTATTTTCCTCATTTTGTTCACTTTTGTCATAATTCAGCATTTATTACGGGTTCAGATTGATACTCCTATAGAACTACCTTTCAGCACTATTTGTTATTCCATAGGCTGTAAAAGCTTTCTGACCTTACATCGTCTTCAGGATGTTGATAATCAACTTTGCAAGTTTGCTACCAAATATTACTGGACATATAATGTTCATTCCTGCATTTGTGTTGTTTCTGAGCACTTGTTCTTAGTTGCACTTACCGGACATAGGATGTTCACATGAAGCTTGTATCTTATATTCTTACTAGAATTGATGAATTCCTGTGTCAGAGTTGGAAGCAAATTTTGATAAAAGTATGGCCTGGCCAGAAGTATGCAGACTAGTTTTTTTT